CTGGGTTTTTGTTTGTCTTTCTTAATATTGGTTGTAGTATAAAGGCAGAGTATATAATGTTTGTGGCAAAAAGAAAGTTTTTCTTCCTAAGCTATTTACACATAGTTCAGCTTCATTTGAAAACATCTGTCTTGCCAGTGAGTGAATCCAAACTAGTTGATGCAAGCCAGCCTAGCTGAACTGTTATACAAAGAACATTTCTTAAATATATATTATTTTTTAGCTAAGATAGGGTTGCCTAAAGACCGTGCAAATCCAACATAAAATGGATAATCTGTTCCTCTGTTCATATGTTGCTTAGTACCATAGGGTTTCTAGATGATACAATAATAAAAATATTCATAAATAATATGCAGTACCTTCCAACAGAGATCATAGGCCTCATTATCCAGCAGCTTTGTGAATGCTGAAATGTAAAATGAGAACAAAAGTATTTCCCAGTTAATGACAGACTAGATGGCTGTAAGGCTAGACCAGTGTTATTGGCTCCTCTGCCTCATTAAGGTGTGGTCGTGTTTTGCCTGCTTCCAAAATATTTGGGAAATGCCTTGCTTTTTCTGCTTCAGCTTAATTCTTCTCAGGGTCCTCCCTCTGAGAGACTTAGATTTTTGCCAGAGATGTATGAAACTCTTTTCCTTTAATACAGCATTCTTACAATTATGACCCTGAAGAATGACAGGAGGAGTATATGCACGATTGAAGGTTAATGATCCAACTTAGAAAAGCGCTGCCATTTGTATCTTCAAATTGTAAACATTGGAGGTCTTGTGTTCCTGCCCAGTTTTTTTGTCTGTATTCCCGGTTAATCTTACGCTGCCATCTGCCTTTGTTCATGCCCAATACTGCTCAGCAACGCCCGACTCTGAACATAAAGCAGGTATAGATGGTGTCTGCTCAGGGGGAACAGTGACCACAGCTGCTTTTTCTCTGTATTTCTGTTGGTGTGGTGGCAGCAGTCTGGTGGGACTACTTCTTTTTTCTTTGTCAGTGCGTATGTCCAGAGCAGATTTAGCCTTAATTCATTATCTCTGGAAAAGCACAATCTCAGTATATTGCCACGCAGTTTCCAGGATCTACCCTGTGCCTAGCTCCTGGATGTTGGCAGCGACCCTCTCGACTTTGAGTGATGAAACAAGGGACAGCTTTATTTTGGTCCTCCTTGTTGTTGCTCTGAATTCATTTACCTAACTTCATTCATGCAGATTCATAACTGTCTCATTGTTGGCAAAAGAGAGAATTCTCATTGTTAAGGAGAATCTCATTTTGTCTTACTTTAGGCAGCCTCAAATACAGTCTGCTAACTGAGGTAACATGGAAAAGCCATGAGGAACCCAATAGAAGCCAAAATTTGGCTTATTTGCTGCTTAGAATTGAGGAAAATCTAGAGGATCCTGACTGTAATGACAATTACTGATGTTAACAATTCAACGATGAAGTTCAGTCTGAGTAGTTCTGCGAACCTGAGTTTGTCTAAAACATGCCCCTGCCTTTTCCAGGTAGCTTGCTTGTGCCAAATCAGCTCTCATATCACTCAAGTACTGCACCAAGTTTTCCTATCTGGTTTAGCTATTCTTACTTACTTATTTCTGTTTGGCAATATACAGTCAACCAAAGGTGCAAGAGGAAAGGATATACTTTCTGCTTTGTTCTTCAATTAATTACACTTGAAGTAAATTACATTTCAGTAAATTAAAGTTTTGGTTTGGAGTTGAATAATTAGGAGTATATAAATGAAAAATTCCAAATGCTGGTTTTTTTTCCAGCATTCTTTTCCTCAGAAGGTAAAGAATTTACTTTCTTAAGCTTTGTAAAGTAAAGGTAAATTTACCTTTACATATAAAAGGATGACAACCTGGGAAATTTTCAATGAAATAGTTGGTAGGAAAGTGAAACGTTGGCTGCCTTTTATGATTTCTTTGAAAACAGTTACTATTTTAAGATGACAACATTTATTCTACCTAAGTCTTCCAGTGAAAGGAAAAACACTATAAAAATAGACTTAATATGAGAACAGCTATATTTAAATAAACACATTTGGTGTGTATCAAAAACAGTATTTGAAATGAACTGAGTAAGCACCAGTGGCCACAAGCTAGAATGGCCTAGTGAAAGAATGGGGCATTAGAATTACTTCAATAATGGCATTTATTGGTGCTTGGTGGTGGTACCGGAGGAAGAGCAAGTAGCAGCAGAGAAATTCCCTATGGCAGGAAGCACTAAGCACGTAAGCACGAGCAGCTGTCATACTCCAGTGTGATTTCTTAGACTGGTTGGTTGTCCAGGACTCAGCCTGGCTGCTTATCCAGAGTGGGCAGTTCTGAATTGGCCCATGTGCCTTGAGAAGGTATGGATATCGCCCTCAAGGTAACCAAGTTAAAAGATGTCAACATTTACAGCTTTAAATGAGGGAAGTAAGTCCTTGTGCTGAGATGAAATTCACCTGATTGTGAAGGTAAGATCATAATAAACATGTAAGTTTGTGTTTATTCAACAAAAATAAACACACTTGGTTTACTACATTTTGATTATTTGTATAAACATCAAGAATACAGTTTTCTGAAAGGGACAGTTTAAAATATGAGCTTTTGCTTTGTATATTCTAGTTCTACATGTCCAGTCTTTCCCTGTTCTGATTTGAGAGCATACCCCTACCCGTTCAAACTCTTGCACTGTGTATGCTTTCTGGAACTACTTGTTTCCCCTTCTTGAATTGGACTGCAGGCTTGTACCTCACTCCTCTAACTTCGATTCTGATTTTCTTGCTTCCTTCCTTAGTAGATCCCTTTTAGCAACTATGGCAGCAGGAGCACAGCAGAGGCTGATAAGCATTGTAGATGCGTGTCACTCCACGTCTCCTCTAAAGTACTTCTCGTGTACACAAAACAAATCTGCATTTTTATATTTTGTACAGCCATGTATTAAGACCTCGTTGCAATGCATATGCACAATTAATGCTGATTTTTCCTGTGGCAGATGCTGCTATTTCCATGATGCTGGCGTGACTGAAATTCTTGACTTTTGACATAACTTCCTGCTGGGCACAATTGCTAGCTTAACTTGCTGATGCTTTTCCATTCTCAGCATTAAACAATATTTTGGGACCAAACTTTGCACAGCCATAAACATCCTTAGCCAAATTTCAAAGCAATATATTCTACAGTGCAATTAAAAATATGACCCATGAAATGCTACTGATTATTCTAGAAACGTTCTAACAGTGCTGCACTCTTTTCTTACCTACTAATCTCAGCTCATTCCTCAGGCTTTCTGCTCAATACCTCCCAACTGTAGTGTCCTCTTACCAAGCTCTCCTTGGGCAGTCTCTCAGAAGAGGCTAAAACTGCACACCCCAGAGGCAGGGGTGCTAAAATGCCAGGTGTACAGAGGAGCAAGGGTATTTCACAGGCTTCCTTTACTGTGTCGGGCACAAACTCAGACTGTGTGACAAACTGAGCTTCTTTGGAGACTTCCTACTATTTGACATCAGAGTGGATTTTGTCTGTGTAGAAGAAGGGTGCCTTCACGCTAGACGCAGCCTCCTGCTCCACTGCTTCAGCAGTCTAATTACATCATATAGTATGGCTGGAGAACACTGACTTACCAAGGTGTTCTTTTCTGTTGCAAGGTCTATCATTTGCAGTTTGTCCCTTTTAAGAATCCAGATTCCTTCACTAATTCCTGTAAGAGTAGAGAATACCTTGGTACCTCCCATCAGTCACAGAGGTCTTCTGTTCTTTTGACCTTGAGGCCTTTCACACCTTAGCAAGTCCTACCTTGAGGCATTCTGAGTGCACTCAATGCAAACATACATGCTGCGAGTGGCTCATCTTACCTGCTGTCAGCACCTGCTTTTACAGTGCAGAGGGAAATTCTTCTCTCCCTCTGGCCTCAAATCTTTTGAGAATGATACTTGCGTGCTGTCTTAGCATTTTGGAGCCTATCATAGCAGGTGTCTGAGATCCCGTTTGCCTTTGGTTCAACTCTGCAATGCTTGCTAGACATTCCTCTCGTAAAAGTTCATTTAAAAATCTACATGCCATTACTGCGTGAGACTTTAGAGCCAGTGCCAGTACACTAAAAGAGCAGTGTCTTACTGAGGTGACTTCTTGTACCAAAATAGAATGGCAGATGGTTTCCCAGCCTGGACCTGCGTAAGATGTATAGTAACTCTGGCAAAAACTCACTGCTGGCAGTCCAGGATGGACATGACTTGTGGTTCTTGACCCTTAGGACACCTATGAAAAGCAGCCTGTGTGAAAATTCATGGTCGTTGAAAGCATTACGAGTTCAGATAAAACAGTTAAGTAATTTCCTCCCTGCCCTTAAATTTGTTTGGGTTTTTTCCCCCCCTAGATTTTGCTAACTACTATGTGGCAGTCTGTGGGAAGTGCCTTGGGAGACACACTCCATCACCTCTTTTATTACTCCTCGCAATTTTTATATGATGTTTTCAGCTTCCTGGGGTATTTTTACAGAATGCTGAGCAGTCTGTCTTCTCTGAAGAGACTGACAGTTAATGCAACTGGAGTATAAAAATGTCTTTATCAAGTTATCAAAGCTGCTTCTTGTTTACCTGAATTCCATCTGGAGAAAATGCATCTTTGAGCCTTAGATAAACCAACTGCTGCCCCGTTCCTCAGGTTTGCCTGCCCTCTGCTGACCTCTCGGGCAACTTCGTGGGACACAGAAGAATTTAAAGCTCTCTGTTGCAGCTGTTTTATTATGCATTTCATAGAGGCTTCCATAACGTGCACAAATACAAATGTAAAATAAATATGGAAATTAGAATGTACCCTGACATAGTGTTGTTACTGGAGCTACAGATTGAAATTTAATTCCCGGTGCGGTAAAAATTACATATTGGCAATTGTTTGACAGATACAAAAGTTGCATGTATACAAATGACTAATCTTCATTAGAGATTAAATTACATCACATAAGTGTACTTCTGAGTGTTGCATGTTTGCTGTGCAAGTGGTTTGTGTTCTGCTTTATTTCAGGAAGGCTTTTCATTAATTGATTCCCACAAGTGGTTAAAAATAGTAAGAAGAGCAGACTGCCTGCTGCTCTGCGCACAGTCAAAGGTAACTTGAGTTGCTAACATAATTCTGTATAAGATTTCTTAATATTGGATAAACTAAACCAGAAGTTGAGATACTGTAATTTGTCTACATAAATTAAAGTGTGTTTTGTTGTTTGGTTTTTTTTTTTTTAACTCTAGCTACTAAGCAAGAATGGATTGAATCATCTTAATGTCTTTTGTAACTGTTAATACTTAGGTCTTTTAGACTGCTTTCTGAGAGTCAGCTACTAACACAGCTAGACCGGTATTTATTTTACAATCTCTCTGCCACTTCTGTTAGCACATCTTCTGCTAACAATTAAGAAGATGAAACTATTCTCTTACATGTACAGGAGCGTGCTGCTTCTGAGTCATACTGCACTTTGGCAAACGAAGTATCCAAACAAACAATTATTTAGCCATTTTCTGGCCCCTGACACCTGGCACAGTAGTAGCAGGCTGGTGATTCTGACATTTGGTATGCAAGGCAATGAAAGGCACCTAGATTTCTGATCTTCCCCTCAGATCTCATGAAAAGTGGTTGGTTAGCCTTTAAGTAAATAAACAGCACTTGCTTGCTATCAACTTACATGTAAATCTCCATTTTCTTGGTTTTTAGATGAACTGAGAAGTTTCTTCTTCATCTACACTGAGCACTCACCAGGTTTTTCAGAAGCAAAGTCCGTTTCAGAATGAGAAGAGCTCTCCCTTCTCCCCTGATAGTTTCTAGGCTTTGTTGTTTCAGCAGAAACAGCTTCCCCTCATGTAACTATCTCTACTTGACAAGAGAATTCCTCTCTAAGTTAGAAACAGGAAACCTGGAAAAAGATTGAGCCCCTTGTTCAGTAGCTGCAAGAGACCAGTTTTAACTCTTTGCCCCGTTCACGGAAACTGTTAAGGTATAAAAACATCTCAAGTATTCCGAGATGTTCTGGCATTCTCCCCTGATAGGAACTCTGGTACAGACTGGCTTATTGTAATTTTGGATAATAGCAATATCCAGAGTAGCTGGAAAGTGTAAGAATTCCTGTTTAGTTGTGTTTCGATCTTTTATCCGATTTCTTTTATGAAAGACATGTAAGTATTTCTTTATAGGATGCTGCAACTAAACAATATAGGTTGCAGAGGGGGAAGTGCCTTGCTAATTGCCAGGTAAAGCAAATGTGAGGCATAGTAAATTTTGTTCAAATAGAAGGACTCATCTCGTTTCAGAATAAGCCTAGTCTAATGGTGCCACTAGGAAATGCATAACAAGTATCTTAAAATGTTTTAAATTCATGGGTTATGCTTGCCTGAAACCAAACCACCTTTGCTCTCTGAATTTTGTCAGATTCTTATAAAATGTGAAGTATCATTGAAGATGACTATCGAGCTGTTGCAGGAATTAGTTCTCATGAATCAGTAGATCACCAGTTTCCTTTACAGTTACTAGAACCAGTTCCCCAGCACAGTGCTAAGGGATTCTGCTGCATCTCACAAGAAACACAAAATCAACATCGCAATCACTTTGAGGCTTGAACAAAGCCCTGAGGGACAGTTCAGAAAAGGAAGAGTATTGACATAGTCTTCAATTCATCTGGTACATCTGAATGTTTGCTTACCATAAATTCACATGACTTAAAAGTGCATTTAGTGGCACTCCAGAGGTCCTGTCATGCAGTTTCTCTACTTGATACCCTAACTTGTAGCTGAAGCGATCCCTTAAATGCTGTGAGTGTATCTGGCCACCATGCTAATCTTCAAACATATTTTTTAAAAAATTCAGGCAGCCAGCCACACCGCGTAAGGGGTTACGGCTCAACCTTGGTAGACCTAAGTAAGAAAAGAATCAAGCAGAAGCCATTTAAGCAGAGGAACGCAAGCTAGGTTTTCAAAAACCAGTTCCTGTATCTGAGTGCACAGGGCAACTAAGGGGCATGGGCAGCTAAATATTTCTGATTTACCTCGTGCTCCTTGTTCTCAGCCTTATTTCATTCCTTTACTGGTTCTAGTTATTTTATTTCTTTCCTACACTTGTTTTTGTTGCTGTATGTTACCTGCTTTCCAGTCTTAGAGTAATCCATGTCAAAGAAACACAGAGGTTCATCACTGGGATCATGTACTGCTGAAGAAACTAAGTGAACATTAACTGATTGTTTTTTATAAGTCATTAATATTGCATTTATAGTGAAACTTACTCGTTTCTTAAGAAATACAATTTTAATAGGGTGCTGTGGACTCCTAGCTAGCAGAAATCGTTCCTAAACTGTATTTTGAGAAGCTTAGTGGTAATATACTTACAGGAACAAGACATGTAGAGAAGACACCGGTCACAGATCGCTGTTGAAACTCAGTTGTACTAGTGGAAATCTTACTCTGTGAAGCACTCAAGTGTCTAATTCTGAAGCCGTCCGTACCTGCTGGATGAGCACTTGTGTCTTACGCTTTAGCTGAAACAAACAGCTGCGTGGCTGTGACTGCCCTTCATACAGCTCCATCTCCAGTAATCTGTTCTCTCACATTAGTCTTTGACTCTTGTATAAAAGCTTTTCTATATGAAACAATCAGTAAAAAGTAGCAAGACAAACGTTCTCTGTATTCTTGTAGTAGGCAATTTCCCTTCAGAGTGTTTTAATTGAGCTCACCTTCCCCAGCGTGGGAAGAGGTGCAAATTTGATGATCCAAGTGACCTTAAGGTTGTTTAATACTTGAGCTCCCGTATGGTTCATGTGTTACTGCCCAGTACTCAGTTTAAGCTAAAACTTGACACATCTTAGCTGAGTTTGAGAGCTTTCTCCTTCTAGGAAAAAGGTTCAACTTATAAAGTCTATTGTTGTTTATAAACTCTAATCGTAAGTATTTAACATTCCTTGTGAAAAAGCAGAGGGCAACACGAATAGCTCAGACTAACAATGGATGTAGGAATAACTAAACCAAGCGTTCTTTGAAAGTCTCCTGAAGAAATTCTAGTTAAGATGCAAGTTACCTTTCTTTCATTTTAATGAGAACTCACCTGTCTGGCATATCCACAGATCAGTTCTCAGTTACTTGAAAAGCTGACCCAGTTACATTGACATCTTCGTTCATTAGAGAAACTATAACTGGCCACTGGGAGTGCTACAGTTTGAAATTTTTGACATTTTTTTCCCCTTTACAAGCTTTTATGCTTACAGTGCCCTAAAAATCATTTTATGCAATAAAAGCATCTTAAAATAACATGCATGTAAACACACAGGCTGTCATGAAGAGCTGGCTCATCTTTCAGACAAAAATCTTTAAAGTGAAAGATGTCCTTGTATCCATGTGATCAGCAATCTAGTAGCGTGTCGAGTTGTTAAAAAGAAATGGTTTTGACATTGAAATCTCAGAAAGATGAAGACTCAAAATAAGCTAGGTCAGTCCAAGGAAAACTTACTACTTTTCTAATACTTCAGCTGTGTTTTAAATTCAAAATTTCAAGATCAAACTGAAAGTCCTATTAATTCACTCCCGAAACAAGAGCATTCAATATGTATCTGCCTTACATCAGCTGAATGTGCTTAGGACAAGCTTATCGTGCACAACAGGCTCTTTAGCCCGCCATTTTCAGGGCAGTTTGCTGGACCTCATGTACTTAAAATTATTTTTATATCTGTACCGCATAACAACCTAGACTGGGGGTCAAGTCCTATCCAGATTTTTTTAATTTAAATCATGAAATACTACTAAAAATGTAAAGTAATGCATTTGAGTTTCATGCACTCCTAATCAACCATCTATTCAAGGAACAGCAGCATTCAGTTGCAGTGCCAAACTGAATTTGTACGTTTAGCTACGCACAGACAGACCAGGTAGATAGGTGAGGCTGGGTTTGATGGAGACAGGAACATGAATCCTAAATGGAACGTACACTTCCCAGAACTTTCAGTTTAGATGCCAAAGTTAACTTCTGCTTCCTTTAATTTCATTTTTTGTCATAAATAACTGTTCAGAGTTGGCATACCCTTCTAGGATACTACTTGCAGCAACAATAAGAACTTTATTTCCCTGCTATACATGTAAAAAAACTCTGTCACCATGGCAAGGTTTCTTCTCTTGGCTAGACCTTTAATTAGTTGACAAGTGGCCCTGCTCACTTACCATTTTCTTGGGGGTTTTTTAACTGATTTTTGTACAGCAAATCGTAGTCTTCTCGTTTAGCTGCTGGGAAAAATGAAGATACAGCAGGGAAAACTTGTTTCTTTGCTTTTAAGTTGGTGCAGGAATCCAAAAAATGTATTGCCTTCTTCCTAACTTTAACAAATAGGAATTTAATGGACTCAAAATAGTTTGAGGGGATTCACAGTTCATTTAATTTCTCTTTGGTTTCTGAGCAGAATGAATGCCGCATGTTTCGTGTTCAGTTTGGTGGAGATTCAAAAGAACAGATGCTGGAACACTGCTGCTGTTGCGTTCAGAAACTTGCAGAGTACGTACCAGTTCACATAACTGATGAGCAAAGCCAGCAGCTCTACCACAGTCTCGGTCAGCTGGCTAATGGTGAAAATCAAGTGAAGGACACTGAACAAAATCCATCAGTGCTATATACAGTAAGTAAGCAAGAGCATATAGAAACAGAAAAATAATCAGCTAGCAGTGTTAGGTCTGTAAAAGCCAGATTTTACTTCTGAAGAAAGTTTCTTGCAGCTATGAGACCATCTATATGAAATACGATTTGGGCAACCCAAAATTCAGTTTACATGCAGGGAAACCTCATTAGTGAACAGGGCTAGCTGTTCAGGAAGTCACCTGCTGAAGCTGGCTATCCTCTTCCCATGTTCTTAGTGTGCCTTGAAAAAAAGGCAACAGAACAGTGCCGAAAACAGTGGTTCTAGCTCCTCAAGCTTACTGTAATATACCTCAGAGCAATCAGATGCGTTTGTTTTGGCCTCCAGAAGTCACTAATAACCAAAATAAATTAATATACACATTTTCTGTGATCACAGGAAGAATATTGGGAAGCGTGTGGAATGAGATTTATAGGTGGGGAACAGAGCTTTGCTCTGGGGTTTGAACTTTCCTTTAGCTAGGGAGCCTGGAAACGAAGGGAACGGTTGATGCCAGGCTCAGGCACACACAGGAAGTTACTAACCATTAAAAGAAAGAGCCGCAAGCGCTACAGCCAAGCATTGTTTCCCAATTCCCAATGGGATCGTGGTACAGTTTGGGGAAGACTTCTATGCTTTCTGCTGAGGTTAATAAACGAGAATAGGGAGCAGAAGAGGAGAGCTAAATAATTACCAAAAAAACCCCAACATCCACAATTTTATCAGTGTGGATTTCAGCAAATGCTGCTGGGACCCACCTGGCAGACTTTCAAATATACACACGGTAAGAAAAATGATCAGAGCCATTTAAGTAACTATGAATTGTGTTCTTTTTTACATTTACCTACTCCTGTTTTGCAGTGTTAATAATTGTAAATAAGCAACTGTATCAATTTGAGCTTGAACCTGACACATTTAATATGCTCTCTTGGGTATCCAGAGGATCACATTTACCAGCTCTAAAAAAACCATCCCTGCAGCTAGCTTAGCCAGCATAGCTCTTGGGTATGTGATAAAAATATCAGGACCAAGACTGCAGCCTCAAAAAGGAATGTCAAAGTTCTCAGCTACATCACTGCCATGACAGGACTCTACTGGATGGTGGAATCACATTTTGTAGAGAATGTGCGGGGGGCGGGGGGAAATAAAAATACATTGCTAATTTGACTCTCACCATTTCCAGGAAGGCATATGGGAGACCTTCAACAGCTGATACTCAAGATTTATTGTTTGTTCTTTATGCAGATAACCTATACTTTGGGCTTTGCTCATTTCCCGATAGGCTAAAGCAAAGAATGAGAGGTAAAGAAAGTATTTCATGACAGGATGCTACTGAACACCAATGACTGGCATTAATAACGCTCTTGCTCCAGAAGTTAAGACTGAAAACCTTGCTCAGAAAATAGAATTGAGAACTTAAACCATCTTTTCAGTGATGTGACCCATGGGAAGGGAAGCGGCACGGCCTTTTTTAAAGTTACTTCCAGTAGGTAGTTTAAAAGTTCTCTTAGTTTAGACATGACAGTTTAACTGCAGGCCCATTATTTCCCATCTTTCATTTTTACAGACTTGAGCAGATGTGCATTCAAGTTCCATAAAAAGATGCCTTTTTACTGCATAAGGTAGCCGAGCACATTCTCTTCCCGTTATCTCTAAAAATGGAACCGCTCCCCTTCTTGCACATACCCACACTCAGCCCTTATTTGCATTTGCTGTTTTCTAGCCAGATGAGCCTCTACCAGATTCCTGCACAAGCCTTGGAGAAAGAAGATCTGTAACGCAGCTAGCACAGGTAAAAGAAAAAAAAAAAAGAAAATAAACTAATATTTAGATCCTGTAACTGAATCTCTCGGGCAGAGAGAGGGCAAGATATCTTATGTGCCATAAACATCTGGTAAAAGTCTTCACCGTAAGTCAGGGTGCCATCATCTATACCAAAACCCAGGATCTTGTGATCTGGAGCTGGGAAGTAGGCTGCAAAGCCAGCTATGTCATGGTGTAATTACCCCATTTGCATGAGAGCAAAACAACTACCCAGAGGTCACATCCCAGTAAGCGACTTTGTCACTCTTTGACTGCAGGAATAACTTCTGCAGTTGTAGCTTAGGTCTGAAAATATCGATCATCCTTGGCCTGCAACAAAAACAATCCCATCATTTCCTTGACAGCTTAACTGAGAAGTCCAGGGTAAAGCCGTGTTTAAAAGTAACAGGAAGTTCACTGTTGCTTGTTTACTGTGAATTTGGGACTGTAGGGAATCAGATGACTGAGGAGAAAACTCTCTTCTTTCCAGCCTCTGGTTTTGTGCTGTTGCTTCTACAGGTCTTTCTTACCCTTTTGCCATATTCATAGAATGATCAAGTCAACGTTTCCTCATGCCAGCAGTACGAGGGACAATTCCTCTGCTCCCTATTGCCAATCTGTCCTCTCTTAAACCCAAAAAAGCCCTTTGGAGGCCTCTATTTTCAGAAAGCAGAGCTCCCTGTACTCCCCTCTCAGGGGCCAGAGCGGTATTAACAAGCTGTGCTGTTTCATTCCCAACGGTTTTGTTACAGTCCTTGTACGATGCAGCAAGTGCGCATCAACAAGCCAGACTGATCAAACAAGGCGGTTTGCTTTAGCAACTCTGTTTTTCCTGACCCATCTCTGCTTTAAGAGGCGATACTAGGAAATGTAAATTAACACCAACGTTATAAAAGAATTTATCTTCTAAAAACTGCTGGGTTTTGGTCCCTGTAAAAGACGAATGCATGACACCTGCCTCTGACCAAAGCGCTCTGCTAGCAAGGCCTGCCTTTGCGGTACGCATTGATCCATCTCACTTGAATTACTAACAAATCCCTCGTCACAAAAAGATTCCTTGTAGTAGTTTCCTACATCTTCCTCTACTTCTTGGTCACTGTAATATGACTGTGCTCTGAGCTGGGATTTCCCATGCCCTGGCCCACAGGCTTGCCATTGCTCAGGGCTGAACTTCTTTTCCCCACTTAAACTTCAGACCTCCCCCTTTCAGCTGGGTCATTTCCCCATTATTTCCCCCCAGTAACAGAACCATTCATCTTGATCCCCAGCTGCCTCTGTGCATCACAATAAACTTTCACTTGAGCTGCTTCCGATTCTTGTAGGAACAGCAGCACGGAAAGCGCCCGGGAGTTGCCCGATAACCCACCGGTCTGTTAAACTTCTGCATTTCTCCAGCATGTCTAACAGATGAGAGCAGCAGCGCCTCAACCTCAGGACATGACCTTGGGCACCTTCCACTCTGCTACCACTGGTTTTACACTGAAAAGCGACGCGATGCACATAGTTTGCCCACCACTGAGGGAAAAAGCTGGAGGAGGGGTTAAATGGGCACAAAAAGGATGTTTTAACTCTTTAAAAAGCCCTGTAATTTACCTCTGAAAGGCATCTTGCTAAATTAAGAGCCTTGAACTGCATACTTGGTTACCCTTACACAATTTAAACGGCAGCACACACACCTCACACAGGGTCCTTTTCTCTTACACAGAACGGCTGTTCACGAGGAAGCCGTGTTACCCAGGAAATTGGCATTTCTGACTTAAATAATCGCAAAAGAATTTAAAGTTGCGTAAAAGCTAACTGGAATTGAAGCTAGGTATCACAGAAACAAAAGACATTTGCATGCAGAAATCATATCTGATAAAAAGTATTTAAACAGCATTAATAACAAGGCAGATGCATCTTATTAAATCCTGAAAACTGTAGCTGCATTGTTAAAACATGCCTGTAACGTTACCTTTTACGTACAAAAATAGCGCAGCGCCTCTGGTTTTACTTTCGCAGTCTGTGCTGAAAAAGAAGTCTGAGCTCCCCCTCGTGTATCGGCATGCAGCGTGGCGTGCACAAGAGCTGGGGCCCTTCATCCGCTTGTGTCTTATGGATCAGAATTTCCCAGCTTTTGTGGAAGATGTGGAGAAGGAATTGAAAAAACTCACAGAAGGTTGAGAAACACCAACTGGAATATAAGCTCCAGGAGAGCCAGCACTTGGAGGACTCGAGCTTAAGTGCAATTAAATATTTGGGAGGGGGGGGAAAAAAAAATAGTCTCGGGCATTTTTTTGTCAGTGTTTTATTTTTAAAAACAGGTGAATCCACTTTTTATACATCATTGCACTTCAACAAATACACAGAACACAAGTTCATGCATCTACAGTTACGCACATCATGAGAACCCTGTTAGGTCTAATTTCTACAATCTTTAAATCATGAGAAATTACAGTGTCAAACTAAGGAGTATAACTAGTTGCATAGAATATCACCATGCTGTAACATTTCATCATTTAAACAAACGAACGGAAAAAAATATAAAAGTGTGCCTGAATTGAATGTACAAGAATATGTTGAACACATCAGTGCAAAAGGATTTGAGAATTTACATGAGTTAACAAAACAAAACAAAAAAATCACTGAAAAAGCAATCATATATATATACATTTATAAACTGAAGTTTTGTTTTCAACTGCATTCCACCACGTCGAACCATTCCAGCTTTTGAAGTCTGATTACAGGACGCTCTCTACATAGGTTAAGCCCTTAAGATAATTTCAATTTATATTACTTCTCTAAGTACCAGAACCAGTATAATTCTCTCTTCTTTCCGACATACAGTAAGGAATGAATATCAGCAGCTTAAAAATGAAACACAATTACTGTATTTTGGTTTTCCCCCTCCCCCCAAAATATAAATATATACTGTATATATTTTTTAAGTTTTGCTGTACTTTACAAAAAAAGTATCACTAGATGGCAGCAGTGCGTTTTAGAGCTTTGCCAATTTTAAACAGCTACAGGAAGTAAAAAACGGCGCATGCGTGAACCGGCGTACTAGTTCTAATGTTTAAATAGATGAAAGAGAAAAGGGAAAAAAAAAAAGAAAGAAAGGAAAAAAAAAAAAGCAACATTCACAGCACATCAAGCCCAAAATAGTTTACACCTTCTACACTGAAGCATTATTAAAGTTTATCTGGCTAGGTCATCCTTACAGGAGAGGCTAAATAAGGCATGCTTTAGACAGTCATATTGTTGCTCACTTGAAAAGGAAAAAGAATAAAAAATAAAATAACTCAGACAGAACTGGAGTTCTAGAACCAAGAGTTCCAACCCTTAAATTTAGCAGGTCATATTGCCATCAGTCTCTCAGAAACTTAAAGCTCTAAAAAAGAAACGAGAAAAGGTGCTAGTCAATGCCCGGCAGCGTTCTCAACACCCCGTGCCGTAACGGCGTGCAATCAAAGCGCGTAACATCCGTCTCGGTCTTAAAAGAAGATAAAGGCTTCCCAACCAACCCAGGTTAGCTTCCAGATTTTAACTGAATGAGGAAGGGTTTGGGGCTTTTTAAAGTTTTATTTACAATAGTAGTGATGGTGTAAGAGTTCAACAGCTACCGGATCGTTCAACTACCCCCATATTTTATGGCAGAGATCTCCGGGTAGCCCCCGGTGCCCCGTGGAGCGCGGCAGGAAGGCTAGTGCCATCCTCCAGGCAGCTGGTGACCTTTTAAGACGTGGAACGAGTTGTATTTACGCACCCCAACCACTACAGAAAAAGGAGGACTTTAGCCTGACCGTTTCCAAGACGGGGGTGAGTCATACTTACATGATGAGTGTTTTTTAATTTGTGTTTCTCTGGCGTAAGTTTTTATCTTTATGATTGTTTGTAGAATTGGTTTTCCTGGAGAAATAAAAAATAATAATAATAATGGACCAAAAGTTAAACAGCATTTCATTCTTCCTCCTCTTAAGTGGCTAAAGACAACATGACTTTTAGACTGTACGGTGCCACCCTCCTGCCCCATGCAATCCACCTCCCACATCTCTCATCCTGCCTCCCAGTTTTACCACTTCCTTTTTATAGCTGAAGCTTCCCCCCCCACTACTTTGCCATTTCCTTAAGATATTTGTAAAAAATAAACCCACGTCAAATCTGCCACACCAGGCAGTTGGGGAGACCATACAAAAGTTTGTTTCCAACTCCTTTGGCCGTGTTTTTCTGGCCAGGACCTTGCAGCTATCACTCTTCTTCACTCCAATGCTAACAACCAAAAAACTACCATTAGTAGTGTACTACCATTAGTAACGTCACACGTAACATAGGTCGGATGTCCTGTAATAACTCCCATAAACCCTCAGATGAAGCTCAGTAATTTTTTTCCCCCCCCTTAAAGTGCACTTACATTGGCCCAGCTGGTTCATCATCTGCAGCAAAAATTCCAATGCAATCCAGGGAAAGACAAGGAAAGGAAAGAAAAGAGAGTCAGTCTCCGCACCGTTAACACCGGCTGAACTGCAAACAGCAAACCGATCTATCTACAGCATTAAAGGCCATTCCACTCGATAGTGCAAAGATTCATGGAGTTATTTTTTCCGGATTCGGGTTTTAATGGCAGGTATGTTGCTTCAATGGTTTTAGTTAACACTTTGAATGCTTGTCATGAAGAACTGCAACTCTAGCGGACAGATTCTTGCAATATGGTCAGACTCATCTTGTCCCCAAGTTCCAGTGGTTCAATCTCATAAAAAATAGATGGGAAGACAAACCAACATTTCAGTTGTAAAATCCTGCTGGTTGTTTTCTTGCATTGATTTTTTTTTTTTGTTTAAATAAATATATATACGTTTTAAAGCCACTCTGATGGGTAATTACTGGTATATACACGACAGGGTATATACACCATACGCTCACCTTCCCCTGTGGACAATACAACCTCTACATATTCCGTTTTTCTCAACGTCTAATTAGAACGGACCAGGTTAGGAGGAGGCTGAGGGTGCAGTACTTGATTCAAGTATCCCAACGCGGTCCTTGGCTAGCGACAGGCATCGTGCGTGCGTCCGATAGAGCACAGGGCCCAAAATGCCAGGAAAAGTTAGGGGTGTTGTAATGCCTCCAGGCACAACAGACTTCAGCTACAGAAGACCAACAGCATTGTTCTGCCTGTGTTTCTCGGCAAAAATATTCTCTTTTAGGAATTGGGAAAAGATCCGCCAATGAGTAATGTTTCGCATTAGCTCTTTCATGACCAATTGAATGTTGTTTTTTTTTTTTTATTATCAAACACCTTATTTTGCAGTACCTACAGAAGACAGAAGTGCATTTAAACAGCAGCACAAAAATCAATCCAGAAAACATTACGGTAATGCTCCTGTAGAAGTTTTTTTGGGGGGAACAATTCAGGACCCGCTGTTTTCGGCACTCAACAGTTGCCGTTCCCACCTCGTGCTAGAAGGATTTTTCACTGAAGTCTTTAAGAAACTCTCAGCAGGATTCCACAAGGGTGCTTAGTGCACATGAAGCAGTTATGGAAATTACAGTCTTAACAGTGTAGGCATCCGCATGAGCACACGCTAGGAGTAATGTCGGTCAAAGGGGACATTACTCCACCTGTACCTTCAAGGCAACGGATAGGCAAAGCCACCGCTAGCACAGACAGTGACCGGAACAAAAAAAATATTTCAAAAAAATAAAGAACTAACCACAAACCAAGAGCTTTACAGCCAAAATAACACACTAGCAACACACCAGTGTCCACAGAGGTCCGTTACCAGCAACAGTACACTATCGGACAAGATACAGAGAGAACTAGGACTAGTGAGGACAACCAGACATCAATGTGCTGCTGCATATACAGCGGAGATTTACAGAGACACATCGGGTACTGAAACACAAAGCACAGCAGAGTAGATCTAGAACTGCCCTCCACAAACATCTTCTTAAGTCAGAAAAGATCTTAAAGCAGGCTGCGCTACGTACTCTGCACGCTGGGTGGGAAGAGCCTCAGACAGACAGTAAACCCTTAGTTCGCTCCATCCCCAGCTCAGCACTGCTACCCATGCCGTTCTGCTTTAAGACTCGGTTATCTCAGCTTGCTGACGGGCATAATCGACATCCTTGAGAGTTTGTTTCGCTGGACTTCAGAAGTATCAGACTGCGCCATTAAGGTACAAGCTCTCTCTCGCTAGAAAATAAGCATTTTCCCTTCTCCCTTAAAATATTTAGATGCCTATTGCAGATAAGTAGCTTTGCGTGTTTAAAAAAAAAAAAGCTTCACATTTATAAAGGCTGCCATCAGGTCTTTTCCTAACGAAGATCCAACATGCCTATCAGAATCCTTACTATACGGTGGATCACCACCACTCGCCCCTTTCCCATCTATAACGTAAAAATGGAGATAAAATAAGACCGAGGAAAATTTCTCTGTGCGTTACTATCCTGGTCAGCCACTTAACTGCTGGAAAAGCATCCCCAGTACAGTACAGTACAGACAAAGACCGAAACCTCAGCGAAATCAGGGGGCAACAGAACAACAGAAAAATAAGTACAAAACTAGACTAAATCAAGATTAAAAACAGCAAACTGAAATCCAAATTAGTTGTGAACGTGAATGAAGAAGTTGGAAGAAAAAGTGTTAACATTATGACTTGTGCATTGTATAGACTGAAGCGGAGATTAAACAAACTCCAAAGCATGCAGATCTCTCACTTACCACCGTTTTTTTAAGGGTATGATGCAATTGAAGGGGGGGAAAAAAAAAAAAAAAAAGAAGTCATAGTAACCGACAAATATCAATATAACTCAAAACCGTTATGCCAGAAGGCCTGCTCTAGTAACCGACTGTCTCTAACGGTACGTAAAACCTATGGCCATAGAGAACATCCTCCCAGTACACTGCTTCATTCCGTTCTGCTCCCAAAAACGCTGCCAGGTGAGCTGTAATTTTATAATTGACCGCACTAAACCCCTCCTTTGGCAGGAATTTGCTTTTTAATTGGGAGGGGATCTCTGCAGACTCCAAAAACCCCACTGTTTATATAATACAAGATTTAAAAAAAAAAATATATTACACCAACAAACCACCCAACCAGCCAAGCCTTTCTTGTGGGTACAGTAATTATCTGTAGCCCCGAAATAGCACATTTCTGAGCCGAAAGGTTAGAATTGCTGCTGTC